TTTTTTTCTCTCGTTTTCCACATTTTACTTTAAGCTCGATCAAGTCCTTGCAACTATGAAAGACTTCCCAAGAGCCTGGTAAAACTGAACCAAATGTACGACGATGTTAAGACGTTCGTAATTTTTTTGGGCTACTCAACGCCTATGGAAAGTCTCACAAGTGCTATGTTGAATGCACATCCCGAAATACTCATTCCTCAGCAGTACGATATCATCGGGAACTGGAAGATGTTTCGCGACAAAAATCTTCAAGATCTTGGCCAGCAGAAATACTTGCTATTTTTCCATTTGCACTATCTTTCACGATACCAATCTTTGTTTAGGAATAAAGCCAACAAACCCAGTCAGTTCTGGTTGTGGACTTATAAAGGCGATATCGTGCCCAACTTCTTTGTTCCTGACTCCCGGCTGGAATCTATCAAAGGAAAAATTAAGGTTGGTATTTTAAAATTAGTTACTCATAGGAAGGCCCATAAACCCAATATTGTCGGTGCGAGGATCATAAGTATATTTTTTAGGCGAGGACAACATGCTGGGAATTAGAGCCAGTAAATTCATTTATTTTACTCATTTTTTTTTTTAATTTTTCGTTTTAGCTGGGATCTCACTTCTACAACCTTCACGTAAGAACGCAAAAGCTCTTATCCCAAAGTAACCTTTGTGTCCTCGTGACAGCGTAGATAGAAATGAATGTGATATGCATTTCAAAAATTTAACCCACAGAAATTAATCACACAGACCATGTGCGTTGTTAAAACTTTGTTTTGACATATTTAGTGCGTTCAAGTGATCATATTTAGAATTATATCCGCTCAAAATTAAATACAAGCTGGAAAACGATTGTTTTTCCACATAAAGAAGGGACAAATTCTCGATATTTTGTCGGCGTTAAGTAAAGAACAATTCTTCTAATAGCGCTTGTTGGATGTATGTAGAATACTTCATGGAAAGTGCGTGCGTACGAGTTGTTGATGTATCAGAAATCGAACGAGTGAGCGCATCGAACGAGTGAAATTTCTGATACAAAAACGAGTGCGTAAATACTATACAAAGCACTTTCCATGTGGTATTGTGTTTATTACATACATATTGAGACACTCATCATTTTGCCAGCCTTTTATTTCAAATCTTCCAAAATCCTAAAATCTCAAGGGGTCTAAAGGCCTGGATCAAAGGTGAATGATTGGCAATATCTCTCGCTAGGAGACCTAGAAAAAAATGAATTTTTCCCCAAAGGTAAATCTTGAGGTTTTCTTGTGCCTTAACGTTTAATTATGGTCACGTGACAGGTCACCTGACCAAAAATTGAAAATGACGGGAAATTGACGAATTGGTGGCGAATTCACTTCGTTAGGAGAAAAAATTGGCATTTCTGATAAAGGATAAAAATACCTTACTTTCTACCTTTGGAATGAACGTACGCGAAGTTTGAAATTAAAGTTTTAATTAATTTAAGATTAAATTTGGGCATTTAAAATGTTCCTTCATAATTTTTTTCATTGAAGCACAATGGACGGTCATTCCAAACCTGAAGTGTTTACTTAGAAATATTTAAATAAATATGAGTTAGAAAAATGTTAATGCTCGACGATTTATTTTCTTAAACCGGCCAGTAATTGGTCAATAATTTTCAATTTTTGCAAAATGGTCACGTGCCAAATCACGGGACTTATTAACACCATATTTATACTTTAAAATGTTAAAGACGATGAGTTGTTTGTGTGCAAAATTTTGACTTCAAAGCCATCATCTATGCCGAAGTTATAGCCAATAAATCATTTTCCACAGGTAAACGCCTTAGTCCCAGGTCTTAAACTACTTGAGAAAGCCAAAATATGCCGCTACACACCACGAAATGACAAAGAATACGAAGTATATTAGTAACCTTATTAAAAAACGCTTGGTAAAAATTATAATGAGGGTAAGGATATGAAGTAGTCCAGGAATTACAAGTAATATTAACTTTTTTTTTCTGAATGTACAAAATTAAATAAAATGAACGATTTTTGTTTTACACTTTTCTACGAGAAAGACTCTAGTTTATCGGGTCTTTTCTTCTGAACGTCTGCGAAGCAACTCGCAAATTATAAAGTAGGGGCACTGCAAACTGCCTCCTTCAGGGAACTCGAGAGCCTAAAAACGAGACAAGAAACAAAAAGTGCATTTAAACCTACTTTCTCAGTACTTTAACAGCAAAAAAGATAAATAAATAAATAAATGAAGAAATAAATAAGTAAATAAAGTAAAATAGAAGGAAGTGGACGAAAAGTGCGAATTGAATGCGAAACAACTTGAAAAGGAATTAACATAGGCAGGGTATAGCGCGGTTACAGGGCTTTGTTCAAAGGTTAGGATTAAAATCCTGGAAACATTTTAATATTTTTCATTACAGATTATTGGTGATTCAAGTGGTTTAACAACAACTATGAAACTACACGGTCAAAATAATTATACAGTTCTTAAAGAACTTCAAACTGTCGTGGGCATTCCAGTCAAGTTTGTGCATCTAATTTCAAATCCATTCGATACCATTGCCGTAGATTTGAAGCAGGTATGACGATAGCCAATCAGTAATTACTAGTTTTTAATGTGTATCAAGTAACTCAAATGTGAGAGAAATTTTTAAAAAAAAATAGGAAAGAAAGAGAGAGAAAGTAAGAAAAGAAGATACCACAACAGGAAAACCTGAACATTTAAACTAGTAAATATGACAGGATAAGCTATGTAGACGTGAAAAGAATGCTGAACTTTCTGTCGTGCTACATGGACCAAAATAAACCAGGAGCTGATTAAAATTGTAGCTGGTTCCTGATGTAATTGTGTTAAGTGTTCTTTAAAAAAATGAATAAATAAGTAACTAACCAAGTTTTGTAGTAGAAGTCCTTCCTTCTTGTATTTAACTTGTATTGCATTTTAGGCCAACAACTCCAAAGAGGTAAGAAGAGCGATCAGTACTTTCTTTGGATTAGTCCAGACCAATGAGGATATACGCAAGAATTATGGCCGTGCTGTGTTGGATGTCAATACTAACGACTTAAAATTAAGACCAAGGGACACGCTTAAGACCATTTGCAGATTCTTGGATACTAAATGCGACGATACTTATTTGGATGGAATTGAATATCTCTTCAGAACAGAAATTCTTTCAAAGCATCGTCATCTTGTTAAGTGGACAAAAGACTTCAACGATTCGATTTTGACTGATATGAAAAAATACTCTTTTCTTCGGCCGTTTCTCACCTGATTCAAAGTGATGACATCAACAAGGTATCAGTTCACCTGACTTGAGTCAGAGTTAAGTCACGATTTTTAATGTACATATAACTTAAGGTTCAGGCTATCTTTATTGTATTTAGTTATCCAATCATTATGTTGTTATTGCATTGTGTTATTTCAGTTTCTACCTTCTGTTACAAGTTCCTTGAAAGCACAATATTTGAGCGAAAAGAAAACATGCAAGGAATACAGAGCCTTTGTTTTATTCCCTCATTGAAACAAATGACAAATGATGGCTTCTCATTTTGTTTTAGCAATAGGCCACTTCCGAGTTCCAAAAACCTACGCTTTCAAAATGAGGCCAAGTGCACAATCTTTCTTGTGAAAATGAGTTTTATTTGCATGAGAACAAAAAAATGATTTCCATATCAAAGACTGAGCACTTAACCTCGTTTTGATACAGAGGCGCGGTGGAACTCGGAAATGGCCTATTGTAATTCATTTAGGGATGTACCATGGGATATGGAAATCAAGTTTAGCTTCTACTGATCCTATCCCTTGCTGCTGTTTTCTGGATTTTCATTTTGAGCAGATTTAAAGTATAATTGTGTCCTTCTTGGCCCATTTACTGAAGAGAAATCCATCACTCTATCTTACTTATACAATTTCAGTTTATACCAGACGAAGTGTGGTTTTGGCGACGTTCAGATCCAGACTAGAATTACCAATATAGGCCCCTTAAGGACAATTATGTGACTGAAGGTCTTCCAATACAAACGTCAGAAAGGCCCTTCACATAACTTTTTGATTTTACAACTAGGCTTAAGATGGAGCCAATGAAACGTTAACAAAACAGGTGTTCAGCATATTCAACGTAACTTATCTTGGCAAGCCTTCACACAGCGACATAATTTCTTTTCTTTTTTCTTTTTTTCTTTTTTTTATTATTTGTTTGAAACCTGAATTCTCTAATTCCTAAATGGAATGCTTCACGAGACACCAGACATTTTTCTGTAGATGCTTTCTTCTTATTATTTTCATCTAAAATCCTACCTATGCATCCAACTTATTATTTACAAACAAACTACCGAGTGTCCGCGGAAACTTTACTGTCGGTTTCCATTTAAACTAGCTTCCTGTGGTTTCTTTAGATATTTATCCATTATGTTCATTTTATCATTTGTTCATTTTGGAAGAGTAGCTGTTGGAAGCCATGGTTTTCCCGACTACATTCTGTTATTTCTTTGAGTTGTTCGCAAGCAGCTGTCTGTATTGTCATCATATCCCCTATTTAGGATGTATTTTCCATGAAAGCGAAAAACAACAGCAGAATATCTTTCAGACTTACCGAACGCTGTATCAACAGTGACTACACTGCACCGGCAAATTTGTGGCTTATAAACTTCCCTCGGAGAGTAAATTTAAAGAGGAGCTAAAGAACCGACTTCGGATTTAAGCAGTCGTTATTTTAAGTCATTCCATTGTCAACTAAGAAGACATTGAAATTACCTGATTTAGAGATATCTGCTACTTCGCTAAAGGCGCGAGCTGGAGGTTTGTGTTGAATTCTACATTTATTCGACAATAATTATATATTTTGGCCAGTCTTTGACTTACTGTAAAAATTGCCCTTTTATCAATTTTAATCATATGTTTCCTTCCATTTTAATTTCAGATTTGGAATTTTCTGTAACCGAAACTTTGGTCGACACATGCGATATGAATGTCTACTTTGGGATACCGGACAGCAATATTTCCGTATCTTCTAATGAAACATTACTTACCGATAAGATATACGTCTATAGCCCGCTAGGGCGATATACATCATTTGTCCTTTTGTTATTACTGGTTACTGTAGGTATTGCGGGATTTTTGGGTAATACTCTTTTTATATTCTTTTTAAAGTCAGGGAAAAAAACTCCAGTATCATTCCTGAAGGCATGCTCTTTTCAAAGAAACTTTGCAGTGTACCTCAAGAGTTTAGCTATTTCAGACGTTTTTTCTTCGCTTATTTCAGTACCATTGCTATGCTTTGAGCTGTATTTAGATCTGTTTCATTCAGGATGGAGTTGCAAATGCATTCGTTATTTAACAATTCTCTTTCCGTGCATAACTATGAACAACCTGTTATTAATAAGCGTCGAGAGGTACTTGTCAACCCGTAAAAATCCGCACACGTTCCGGCTTTCTACAGTAAGGAAAATGGTTATATTTGCATGGGTGGCAGGGGGATTGATTGTCTTATTTCCTGCCTTAACTTACGACGGGTTGAGATTTGATCTTAACAAAAAATATTACACTATAGTCTGTAGGTTCAACCAACAACATTTGCCTTTTAGAATAATCATCTTAAGTTTCGTGGCTTTGCAATATATTATACCAACAATCATTATAGTTAAAATTAATTTGTCACTTATTAGAACAGTATGGCGGGTTAGAACAGTGCGAAAGACGGCCGTAGATGTTCAACGAGACAACGGAATCAGAATAAAATATAGGGCGGCTATTATCCGAAGCACGTGGATCATCATTGCTCTTACCTTTGCATTCATTATTCCATATATAGCTTACTTCGCTCAGGTTGCCTACAACCATATAAGGTATCTATCAATTTTAAAACCGATTTCACCATTCGAATTGTAAGTGGTTTGATAGCGATGGCAAATGCTACAGTTAACTTTGCACTTTATCTAGTGCAGTTGCCCGATTTTCGCTCTTACGTAAAGAAGAGAATTCTGAAATATCCCCTAGCTAAGAGAAATTCTCAAAAGGTAGAGTTGATAAATGTAGATATTCAATTACTCCGCTTTTCTTCCTTCACATATACTATAACGCACTTAGCTAGACAAATCGACAAGAGCTCCAAATATCAAAGTTGTGAAAGACAAGAACAGGAACACGACTAAATAAATCATCAATCAATCAATCAATAACCAAAAGCATTTGTGTACACGTTTGGTATTTATTTATCCCATTCCATAATTGAGTAAAATACCGATGGAATTAATTGGGAAAGAGAATTAAATTGAATCGAAATATCATACACATAAAAACCTCATCATAATTGACAGTTTTTTTCTATAATGATCAGGTTTCAGTAAATATCATGATGCATCATTTGTCAACGAATTGGTAACAGTTTATGATAAAGTTCACTCAAATAAAACCTTGTTAAGACGTTTTGTGTAGAATGGATGTACAATGGAAAAATGATAAGTATGTGTAATTCTTAGTACCCAGTTGTTCATACGATTTTGCTTCATGGTGCTTCTACCGTTAATGCCCAAAGCTCCGGTATTATTTGCAAGTGTAATCTAAATTAGTAAAATCCAACTAGTGGTCTATTATCAATGCTGCGTTCTGATTGGTTGAGCTTCTACTAGGCTATATGTTATAGCCCTCTAGTAGCGAAAAGCGCGGGCTTTGAAAACCAAAAAAAGTGGCGGCTGAATTTCCTTTTGCTTGCTAAAGTTGTCTTGTCTCGACATTTTTGACCAACTAGTTGGATTTTACTAAAACAATTATTCCTCGAGCCCGAATGGCCTCTGAGTCAATAGCCCATTCGGCCTTCGGCTTCATAGGCTATTGACTCAGAGCCCATTCGGGCTCGAGGAATAATTGTTAAAAAGTTGTGGACTTCTCTTACAAATCTTCTCTCTTTCTCTAACGATTTTCTTTACTCCAGTGCTAGTAAAATGTATGGAAACAGGTGCTATAATCGGGGTAGGAGACTGTAACTGGAAACCTTTTCAATGGGATTAGCTCCATCGAAAAAGCCAATTATGCTACTTTAGCACAAATTGCGCCATCTCGTGGGACACGCCCGCGCAGTTTTTGCGTGGGCGCCCCGCAAAGGATGAACAAACAAAATGGCGCCAGAAGTTACCCTTGTAGGAGATTAATAAATTCAGTTTCTGTCATCATTCCCTTCTCTGAATTTCAGGCAAGACCTTGAAGAAAACCTTATTGACAACGACTCTTAATATGAGGGCTGTGAATGTAATTCTGATCATGTTAATCACCGTTAGCGGTAGTGAGAGTGTTTTTGACAAATCCAGTTGCGAGGAGATGTCGGAGATGTCGTGCGATGAAAATCCCGTTCGGACGGGGGAAAAAATAATACTTGAGGGGAAAAGGAAAAAGAGAGTTAGTAACAACAACAAATATCATTATGTCCCCAAGTTTCCTAAAACATATCTTTCAATTCATGATAAATACAGCTTACAGCTTCCAACAGCGTCTACTGGCCCAAGGCATGTGTAATTGAATAGGTAATAGCATGATTTGTAGTGATATTTGGCATAAACACCAGGAGTAATATTTCGAAATTGTTATACACAATTTCACGAGCCGTTGGGCGAATAAATTTTAAAACAATTTTGAAATTTCAAGAGTAGTATTTTTGCCAAGTGTCACGTACAAATCATGCTATTATTTGTTTATACTACTACCCGCAAAGGTTTTGTAATTTGCCGCCTGTGTTGATAGGAGCCGCAATACAGAATATCAAGTTTTCGAAGATACTGCTATCAATTATTCTTTTCCCCTAGTTAAGAATTCATAAAAAAGGGTGTCCTGTATCCCCTCCCCGCTGGTTATGTCTGTCGGACCGGTAAAAACCCAAATGTCTGAGTGTCTGGTATTGTAAAAGAAATCTCGTATTTTGCCCTTACGGTAAACAAAGCGAAGCATTTTTGTTTGTCTGCGTCATTTACTGGCCACCCGCAAAGTTTAATGAATTACATATGGTACATACATTTAGAACTCGGAACATACAAAGAGTTGATTTCAGGGTCAGTGACTTAGCCGTATGAGCAACGAGCCGCTATTGATCTCCTGCTATGGCACGTGCATGCATCTTAGCCTAAATGTTTGTTGCTGTTGTTGCTGTCCTCAGTTTTCAAAAGCCGAAGCTTCGAGACGGTCCAAAACAAAGAAGATAGATTCTTGAATCTAGACCCATAACAACTTTTTCTGGATCACTAGCATAACACCCCAAGGGCCAGGTATATTCAATTGAAGAATCTCCGTTTTAACTGACCAAGAAACCCCTACGCACCTTTTTCTTACGGTATTATTTCGAGTTCTTGTCAGTATAATGCATAAAAAATAATAATTTTTATTGAAAATAACAATGGTGTGGTGTCTTGCTGATGTGCACCTCCAGTCACCCTAAGTTGGGAGGCTTCAGTTTTATGTTAACATCCAATTCTGCCTACTATGAAGGGTGAGAATAGCCAGGGATGAAAATTAATAAGCAGATCAAATAACAAGTGACAGTGAATATCGGAACTGCGGGAGAAAAAAATAACACAACGTGAAAGTTCATCGCACTGCTATGATCATTCACGTGTTAAAATCTTAAGAAATATTTGGTTTTTCCTTTTGGCCTGATTTATCCACTAAACTCAGGATTCATCTGAGAGTGTTATTGGATACCGAAGAGTTTTCATCTGCGTCATTCAAGGAAAATAATAACAGCTCTTTGTCCTCTTTGCAACGGCAATTCGCAATGCCTGAATTGCAATTCACCAAAAACCCAATACTTCTCTTTTCCTCTCTTTAAATCTCATATGTCTGGACATGAGGTGAAAGAAAAATGCTTATAATAAATAATATTGAAATTAGCTCCCTTAAGACACCTGAACTAGATTTTCTCACACCAGTGAATGCTTAATCTGTTTCTTCTTCATTAACCGTTGGGCGAGTGAATTTTGAAACAATCTTGAAATATCAAGTGTGGTATTTTTGCCAAGTGTCACGTACAAATCATGCTATTATTTGTTTATACTACTACTCGCAAAGGTTTTGTAATTTTCACTTGTAGGTATTTCAAATTAAGCTGCAATACCACTGCTCTAAGCCAATCAAATTGCAGAAATTTGGACATGAGATGAAAGAAAAATGCTTATAATAAATAATATTGAAATTAGCTCCCTTAAGATACCTGAACTAGATTTTCTCACACCAGTGAATGCTTAATCTGTTTCTTCTTTATTAACCGTTGGGCGAGTGAATTTTGAAACAATTTTGAAATATCAAGAGTGGTATTTTTGCCAATTGTCACGTACAAATCATGCTATTATTTGTTTATACTACTACCCGCAAAGGTTTTGTGTGTAGGTATTTCAAATTAAGCTGCAATACCACTACATACCACTGCTCTAGGCCAATCAAATTGCAGAAATTTCTCATATAGTGGTATAATATTGAAAATTCCAGCGGTATTTATCTTCTTGAATCTTTTACCTGAGTTCCCATACGAACTGAATCCTTTATGTTCATGGCCATTTTAAAGATTACGCAATATGAAACCACACGTATTAGTGTAAAAACTCTAATACTGAGCTTGGGCCGCCTGTGTTAATAGCCCGGGTTAATAGGAGCCGTAATGCAGAATATCAAGTTTTCGAAGATACTGCTATCAATTATTCTTTTGCTCCAGAGAATTTAATTAAGCGCCCAGTTGCGAATTCATAAAAAAAGGGTGTCCTGTATCTCCTCCCGCTGGTTATGTCTGTCGGACCGGTAGAAACCGAAATGTCTGAGTGTCTGGTATTGTATAAGAGATCTCGTATTTTACCCTTACGGTAAACAAAGCGAAGCATTTTTGTTTGTCTGCGTCAGCTACTGGCCACCCACAAAGTTTAATGAATTACGTATGGTACATACGTTTAGAACTCGGAAAATACAAAGAGTTGATTTCAGGGTCAGTGACTTAGCCGTATGAGCAACGAGCCGCTATCGATCTCCTGCTATGGCTCGTGCATGCATCTTAGCCTAAATGTTTGTTGCTGTTGTTGTTGTCCTCAGTTTTCAAAAGCCGAAGCTTCGAGACGGTCCAAAACAAAGAAGATAGATTCTTGAATCTAGACCCATAACAACTTTTGCTGGATCACTAGCCTAACACCCCAAGGGCCAGGTATATTCAATTGAAGAATCTCGGTTTTAACTGACCAAGAAACCCTACGCACCTTTTTCTTACGGTATTATTTCGAGTTCTTGTCAGTATAATGAATAAAAAATAATAATTTTTATTGAAAATAACAATGGTGTGGCGTCTTGCTGATGTGCACCTCCAGTCACCCTGAGTTGGGAGGCTTCATGGGCACCCAACGAGAATATAGTTCAAGACCACTTAAACATAGCAATGTTCTATTGTATTTTAGTATTTAAACGGTGGATATCGGCATATTTTTATCCCCTAAAACTTTTTCATCTGTTCGGATTTCCTAGCTGAAAGTCTAGTGATCCGAAAATTATAGGGATCAAAACTTACCTTTTCAAAAATTTCATCCAGAAAAAAGGCTCCCGAAAATTCTAGGTGACCTTCTTAGGGTAAAAATCTGTTAAAAATGGGCAATTATACCATTTTTTAGATGTTCGAAAATCCTAGGATAGGCAGGCAGGCAAGAAATTTTACAACAAATGTTCTGAAAATTCTAGATCTGAGATCGTCTTCCGAACAGATATATTCCAAAAATTGACGTTGGGTGCCCCTGAGGCTTCAGTTTTATGTTAACATCCAATTCTGCCTACTATGAAGGGTGGGAATAGCCAGGGATGAAAATTAATAAGCAGATCAAATAACAAGTGACAGTGAATATCGGAACTGCGGGAGAAAAAAATAACACGACGTGAAAGTTCATCGCACTGCTATGATCATTCACGTGTTAAAATCTTAAGAAATATTTGGTTTTTCCTTTTGGCCTGATTTATCCACTAAACTCAGGATTCATCTGAGAGTGTTATTGGATACCGAAGAGTTTCCATCTGCGTCATTCAAGGAAAATAATAACAGCTCTTTGTCCTCTTTGCAACGGCAATTCGCGATGCCTGAATTGCAATTCACCAAAAACCCAATACTTCTCTTTTCCTCTCTTTAAATCTCATATGTCTGGTTGTGAGGTGAAAGAAAAATGCTTATAATAAATAATATTGAAATTAGCTCCCTTAAGACACCTGAACTAGATTTTCTCACACCAGTGAATGCTTATCTGTACTCTTCTTCATTAATTATGTTTTCTCTTTGCTTTGTCACAGCTTGTAAGTTTGTTTAGTTTGTTTGCCCACCCATTTGTATTCCAAAAAAAAAAAGTCCATAATGACACCTAGTATTTTAAAGCAACTTTTTGGGATGAACAATCGACTTCTTCGTCAACGACATAAACAGATCTTCTATTTATTATTATTAATTTATTATTGTATTAATTTTATTTTAAGCACACCCTTCCACAAAACGAAAGGCTGGCAAGTTTACTCTTAGAGGGGGTATTAAATTTACAGAAGCAAAAAACTGTGTCATTGTTTATTCAGGAATAAGTTATGTAATTGTTAATACATAACTTCTTTTATGAAGACAACAGTCCGTACCAAACGCTCCGCTTTTAACCGAGGACAGTCGAGAAGAGATTTAACTGAGGTAAAGCTCCTTTAACATTATACAATGTATATATAAATATTTTATTTCGACTAAATGAAGTCAGGGAAAATACTGTTTTTAAATATTTTAAAGGTAGCACAGAGTAAAAGCGACCGGCGGTTGAGATCTGAATGCCGATGTTATATATGTTGTTGGAGGTGTTGCTCATTGGTGTGTTTTAAATACGAGCAGCCAATATAGAGTCTCTCAAATAAGAAAATTTAATTCCATTGCTTTCATATTAAAAACGGTGAATTCGAAGCAAAATACTGCGAGTTGTATGTATTGTTGGCCTACGGTATAAGGGTTGTTGAAAACACGTTTTTTGTCAGCAAGTCCGATCCATTCGTTTATAATCCTTTCAGAAGAGTTGCCTCTACACAGTATATAAAACTTCAAAATAATTTCGGTCTGTAGAACGTCAAAAACGGAATGCAATTTTTTATAGGACACCACGTCTCTTTAAAACATGACGAAAATTCTACAAGCGTGGTATACAGTTGCACTAACAGCGCCCACGTGTCAGACAAGGTCTCCAGCAAAGGCTACGATCCCATGGAAAACCCAATCTTAGCACGAGATTTATCACGTGCAAGTTAAGAAGGGCTTTTCTGCCTTAGGCACATCTTTTGGACCAGTTAACTTTGTCAATGGAGACATTTTTGATCCTAGGTAACCCGCGTAAGGCTCTATTTACGCTTAGAACCAGCTGAGGCAATGACTAGGCGTTTTGTAGACGAGCGAAAATTGCAGGAGCAGAAAACTACACCGGCAAAATCCATAAATAAACTATTTGCAGTAAACAGGTCGACGTCCGATTTAGTCACAACCTCTTCCTTCATTTGAGTATCATAAGTTATGCCACTTGAATCGTAAATTAAATTTTAAAAAAATCTTTCTGGTCTCGAATTTTCTCGCGAATTTTTCTTTTTCGGGAGTTAAAGTTCAAGAGAAAAAATAATCCTTGTACTGTAGCCTGTTTTGAATTGCCAAAGAGTTAAAGGTCTCTACGTACCGTCAAAGTACACCAAGCATTGCGTTGTGTTGTACCTCGCACATGTACAAATAAAATCACACACCATTGAGTTTTCTTCCTACCGGAAGCAAAAAAAAAAAAGACGAGATCCGATGAGCCATCGGCTGGTGTTTTGAATTGTATTAAAAAATTTCGACTGATATTTAAAACTTTAATCGTGTTTCACTACTCAGCTTGAGGTACAAACCAGCATCTATTCGCCATGGGTAAACGCTTGCCTCCTTTGATGAGAGAAGCCGTTGCCGAATTCTCTTCCACCTTCATTTTGCTGGTGAGTATTGTTCTTTTTTTTAGAACTTTTGATATTTCGTCTAGTTTCATTCCCATTAATTTTCACCCTGCTTCTTTAAAGGTGGCAATCAGACAAAAAGCGAAATAAGAATTTCAACAGTTTCATGTAGTCATGACATGTCTGACATCAAGTCAATTATTACTAAAGACAACATGTCAAACTTTGTTAACATTATCTTCTTTTAAAAATTTCATTTGTCAATAGAGGAAGGTTATTCTCTGCAGGCGGTCTAACTTTTTTCTCTAGCAAAAGAATACACTTGAGCGCATCGAACGGCAAACGATGGCGGTAGCACGCGAAGCACGCGTTATGAGAGGAAGCGGAAGGGAACGAAAGAATTAGGGGGGAATCGTGAATTCAGGAAGGGGGAATGAGTTCCCGATCCCCCCCCCTACTACTACATCTTTTCGCCCCCCTGAAAGGGAACGCAGATTCCGGAATCTGGGAAATATATGCATAGTGAATGCGGAGTCTAGGAAATTTGCGTTGTATAATGTGGAATCCTTAGCTCTGGAATCCGGAATAAGGCTCAACGAATCCGGAATCCCTCTTATGATTGGAATCCTACCACTCCTTTTATGTTAAAAAATTAGCTGTCGATTCAGTTTGTGGTAGTACAGTTAAACCTCACTGTTTCACGGGAACAGAGTTAATTGCCCTTATTACAGAGGTGTGCGTATTATCAAAAGATATATTATGCAGAATAGGCGTTTTTGTTTTTGGTTTGTTTTGTTTGTTTTCCTTGTTTTTTTTGTTTTGTTTTTTTTTTTTAACTAAAGCTCAGACTTTGTTTACATATGTTCTCTTTCAGATATTTGGCGCTGGTTCGGTGGCTCAAATGGTCCTTAGCGAGTGGAAATTTGGGAATTTTTTCTCTGTTAACTTCAGCTGGGGAATTGGAGTAGCCATTGGTTGCTACTGGGCAGGAGGCGTATCAGGTGTATTATCTCAATTATCCAGTGCCAAGGATCTTGGCAGGTTTTTAGGGCCGTCAGCATTCAGAAATGTTTATCCTTAACTTAGACATACGTGAGTAGAGTATCGATTTTCATCGATTGGTGAAACCAATCGATATTAATCGATTAATTTTATGGATCATTGGTTTCCGATGATCGATTTTCGTTTATCGGTAACGCCGGACATTCATAGCGTTGGCCCCTACTCATTGCTTTGTATCGATTTTTACTGATTTTCATCCGTTTTATCGATTTTTATCAGCTTTAATAAATGAAGGGGTATAAGTTGGCTACCACGGGTGCCATTTACAGTAAGGACGGGTGAATCTTTTGTCCTCGAGACAAAAGAAATTCGCGATGATACTCACACACATGTTCACGAGTCATGGGTTTCAACTTATGAAAATTTTCGAAGACACGTTCAATCAAGTTTTTTTGTATAGTTAGACACATTTAGAGGAAAAGTAGCAATTTAAGGACTGATCCTTAGTTTTAATTAACTCCCACAAGGACATTTTTTAAGTATATATAATTATGCGATCACGCAGCATTAGAGTCAGAACTAACACCCTCAAGATAGAGGAGCAGAATATGTAGCCAGGTTTTCTTCTTTTTTTCTTACTCTTGGAGTCTACAGTGTTCAAGAGTGTACAAAAAGCAATTTACAGTGTACGGAATAAACCTGTATGCGGATTTAAAAACTAGTTCGTAACGACTCTTCTACAATCCACGTTCAATATTATCACTAATGCGTAGCTCAAACGTATCTGGAACCATTTTTAAACGATTACCATCGATAAAAATCGATTTCCGATATGAATCAATTAACAATCGATTTGGTCGATTATCGAATTTCATCGATTTGGAGTGTCCTTCTTAGAGCTTTCTCCGCCGAAGGGGCCCCCGCTGGGTACCCCTTTAAAAGTAGCAAAAATCGCAAAACAGCGATCGCGCGGGCTTTCTTTGTTCTCTCTCCCCAGCGGATGAGAGGTTCCTTAGCGCACAGCACAGGTGTACGGTAAGAGTGTTGACTGCATGGCTATAAAACATGTTAATTAGGTCAGGCTGTTAAAGAGAGAACATGCTCTCAAGCTGAGAGATTTTCGCTTCAAGGACTGATTCTTCGTAGTTTTGTTCATTAAGTGCAGCAAAGTCTAGGCAATTTTCTTATTAATCCTTAATTAGTTTTTATTAAAATTGATAACTGATACGTAGACGAAGTCCATTGCACGGGCACTGATCCACAGCTTTCTGTTATGCAATGATTCGCAGGGGCTCACATGAATCCCGCCGTTACACTGGCTTTTGCCGTCGTCAGGAGATTACCATGGAGGAAAGTTCCCGTATATTGGACGGCGCAGATGCTGGGGGCGTTTGTAGCCTCAGCGTGTGTTTATGGCGTCTACTACGGTGAGCAAACGCAAGAGTTGAATTGAGTTGGTTCCCAGTAAAACAAATCTCGCACATTCTATCTCTGTGTATTCGCGCAGCCAATTTAATTTAGATCTTAGTTGTTCCCCTATACCACTTATATACCATTTGTATACCTTATGATCTGGCTGAGAGACCGAATTCTTTTTATCTTCCAGTAACTCTGAGATAGATACGGCTGACCGACCTTAATTCAAAGGATTAATCTTTACAAAAGCATTCCAATTTGGTGCTGATTTCTGACTGTCCCTGGGAAAAGAGGAGTGCGAAGCAGGTAAGCTTTATGTTTCATCCATTCGAATTAAAAAAAAAAAGATGCTTTGAACGCATTTGATGGCGGTGTCCGTCAGATAATGGGTCCAAAGGGCACGGCAGGGATCTGGGCTACATATCCACAACCATATTTATCCACCTGGAATGGCCTTGGAGATCAGGTAAACAAAATTATTGGTCGAGAGCTTTGACAGGAAAACCCAGTTGAAGTGTTCGGAGCATAATAAACAGTTTCCCAAAAAGTTGTCACGTCTAATTCGGTTTTGTTAGAAAAAGTAGTGAATTTGTTTTAGAGTGAGTCTAGAACCGAGAAGTTCTTAGCTAAAGATAATCTAAGCTAAAACGTGTCTTCTCACCAGTGGCCCCTTGTGCGAAACGATCACACCTTGATATGGAGGGTAAACATTTTGGTGGGACCTTGAAAAGAAAGGATGTCAGCTCTTTGAAGGATGTAATATCTCTTTGGTTTTCCTTCCCCCAATAAGTCGTTTACCATCCAGCAAGGTGCTTCTGACCGCTTCATGAAAAGGGCCCATTGAATTACAAAAAAAAAAGAATACTTTAGGCAATTGTTTTCAGATGCTGCGGATGGCAAAGATGGACATGGGCTGAAACTTGAAAAAACTTGGCCACTTTGTTCAAGTTTAAAGATGGCTCCTTGTTCAAGTTTAAAGATGTCACTGTTATTAAAAAAGGCTCATTTGCCACCAGTAAAATTGGAGTATTTTATATTTTCGCTTAATGAAAGCTGTAGTTCTTTTCAAAGTTTCGTTGCCATCGCGGTAAAACCGAAAAAAGCTATGACAAAAAGGTTCGTCATAATTCCATGCGCCTTTTAAGATACGCAGCCACCTTCCTGATGTTATGCAAGCTAAAAAAAAGTGTAATTATGATTAGTGCGCCCTGATAAAATTTGTTAGAGATCTCTTGACTGACACGAGAATTTTAGTGTATGGTTTCAGGCACTTGTTAACGAATTCAACACAGAATTTCCCCATAACGACGTCCTCGTGACATAGACGCTTTAATCATAGAAGACACGCCCAGAAAAAAATATTTATATGTATCCAATCGTTACTTTAATTGTTAGGTGCTTGGCTCAGCGTTGCTTGTTGGCTGCGTGTTTGCTATCATCGACAAGAACAACAATTCTCCTGACAAAGGCGTCACGCCCATCATGATCGGACTAGTGGTGTTTGTTATCGGCGCTACTTTTGGATTCAATTGCGGTTACGCCATCAATCCCGCTAGGGATCTGGGACCAAGGGTATTTACGGCGGTTGCAGGGTGGGGCTCTGGAGTGTTCACGTGAGTATTTTCAATGAACAATGTATGTTGCAGAATAAGAACTTAGTAAAATATCACTCATGCACTGTGAAAAATGAAAAGAGGTATCCATCGTCTACACTTAAATTAGTGACTGGAATGACGTCAAAATCTTCAAAGCCCAAGTTGTACATTCTGCATTACTTATCTAAATGCAGACAATGGGCTTTTTTCTCCTTTACTAATAATAATAATAATGATGACGATGATGATGATGATAATGGGATATCAAAAAAATGTCTTTACCATTATCTTAGTAGCATGAGTGGCAGGCTTCGACAGGGGCGTATAAGGGCTTGCTTACATATACATGATAAATTACTCAGTTGTTACAAAATGTGTTCATTATCTTCTTCTTTTTGAAAAACATAAAAAGTATCAAAAGCAAGCAATTTAATTTTCAAGTAACTTTGATCAAAATCTTATAGACGGACTTAACTCCACAGGGCTGCAAATAACTGGTCTTGGGTACCTGTGGTAGGCTGCCTTTTGGGTGGAGTGCTTGGTGCCTTAATCTACATTGGATTAATTGAGATGCATCATGATTCAGAAGACGATAGGGAGACTGGGTACGATCTTGAGAGAATTGTTATAACCACAACTGACTTCAAGGCTCAAGCAAACGACATAGGAAACGGAAATTTGGCCTTTGGTGACGGAATACCAATGGCATCTACGTAATCTGTCCATAAAGAGTTATCCCACGAAGACGAAATTGGTATTGTGAGATAACAATGTTAACTGAGTCTGAATAGAATTATATTTTACTACTCAGAATTACTCAGATAGTAATCATAGAGGACGAGAACCAAATGATAATATGCCTTATTTTTGCGCTTGCAAGTGATTCAACGGCAACGCATAAGCGAAGCAATGCGATGATCTTCCTTTTTGTATAAAACTGTTGCTTGTATTTTTCGCGTGATAAATATAATCCAGTTTTAATGTTTTTTTTTCTTAATTTTTTCGCAACTTCGATTCCATGCTTTCAACCTCTTTCTGTCAAACGCGGCCTTTGATGGAAGATTTACTACATTAAGTTAATCCCGTGTTGTCGTTTTGATTGCTCGTAATCTGAGGGTAAGTGTGCAAATTTAAAAAAACTTTTATCATCTTCTTTTTACAAATGAGACGTAATTTTCAGTGATTGAAATAATGGAATCCGACAATTTTTTACAAAACCATTGTACGCCTGTCAGTGTAATAAATATTTATTGTTGATCATGTTTGTTTACAATACCCATGTTAATGTATGCCTTTCACTTCTTGACTGACATCATTTAAGTGGCTATAGAAAAATAAACATACTTCAATATAACACCATGCTATGATTCTGTTATTTGTAGCCTCAAAATGTTTTAGCTAATAAAAAGTAATTCGATAAATAACTAAGGGGCTAAAATTAGAGAAAGATCTGAGAACTCCAAGTCGGCATTTCTTGTCATTTCTAGGTTTTCAGAGGTAACGGTTTTGATTACATAGTACATGATTTTGATTACATAGTACATAGTACATGTATTTAGTATGTAATGTGTACTTCATTTCTACTACGCCTCCTTCATTTAAATGCGCTATAAAAATTAACGTTAGAGAAAAGAAATTACTTTCTTTTAGGTGACAAAATCAGAGATTCTTGTCCAACTAATATACCTCCAAGCATCAAACGTTACAAACAACAAAAAATGAACTTTGAAGAACTGCTAGCCTAACAAGTTTTAACCTTATTGAGACCGGGCTTTTTTCGCCTCCTGCGAAAGGGGGAGCTTCAACGCCCCCCCCCCCCCCCACCTTTTATAACTTCAAAACCGCTCACAGCTCATGCTGTGTCCACCAAAATTACAAAGAACAGTCATCATTTCTAACTTCTAGGGATAACTCGATTTGCACAATAACGTAATGTCACGTCATTATGACGTCATAATTGAATTTAATTGAATTTATTGACAGAATACAAATTTCCCTCAAAGTACACATTAAGAGAAAAATACTTACGTAGTAAGGTGTCAAATAGAATAGGGAACTTGGATAACATTTAAATAAACTTTAACAATAGCAGTGATGTCACAATCACGTCTTTTATGACTAGAAAAGGAACTAGAAGCATCTTGGGTCCGCCATATTGAATTATTTATTCAAGTTGTATTCCATTTTGCTTAAAACCCGAGAAGTTTTTATGAGAAAACTTCATCTGAGTTTAAAAAGAAGGCTAGGAAGCAAAAACATCTGCAAAATATGCAATTCAGTCTGAGAAACGAGCGCAGAAATTCCATACTGATGACGCGTCATGCGTCACTACTTAGATCTGGGTATTGCTTCTCAAATTTGATAAAATAATACTAATTTAGGTGTAATATAATAATTTTATCGGTAAAAATAGAATGAAAACCTATTTTCAAGAAAAAACGCAAATTTTGGAAACATGGCTGCAAAAACTCGGTTGCCATGGCAAAGATACTGTTGACGTATACGTCATGATGATCTTAGTATATTCCCCGATAATTTTAGTAAAAGTCGCTAAGTTTGGTGGTCATAGCTTGTACGGTTTTAAAGTTATTAAACTTTTTAAGGAGAGGGGGCTTGGTCTGAATAGAGATAAGATAACAACAACAACAACTTTATTGACTTTATCTTCTACATGAAGATTTCAGTACAAAACAATCAATATAACAACAAATGAAACGAAGTAAGATAAAAATTAAGTGAGAGAGAGAAAGGAAGACACAATTGCAATCCGTTTTAATATCCTTCAAGTTTGTCCATCTGTGCCTTCTTTTATATTTACTGTGTTATTTATACCTCCTTTTAATGTGTTGAGATGTGCCGTGTTTCTTATATATTTCCCTCAGTTTGGTGGCAGTTCATACCGTTTATTAGAACTGTGATAACTTTTGCGAGACAGCTCCTTTAAAACTGAATGCGCGTAATTGGTAATTATAATATAAACTTTTCTTTTTACTTTCTACCCGTTTGACTCAGAAGAAGATTGAGAACGTGTTTGTCGATCCAAACCAAGTTGATTCAGACAAATGCACTATTTTTTTTTTTGGGGGGGGGGGGGGG